TGGTGTAGAGAGGAGCTCCAGGGCGTTTGACACCCACGCTTTTGCATCTAAAGTTCTGGGGCGATACACTGTCCTCCACCCTGGGTCACCTCACCTGTCCGCTGGGCCCTGATGGGGTGACAATCCTGTTCCCCCCCTCCCTTTCCACATGAACACATTGCACTACTGCCCTCAACTAGAACAGCCCTCCACTGTGCTGCACTTAATGATTTCCTTTTTCTGCTCAAACCACAATCAAGTAATCTACTTTGTATTATAATGTGCTGCCTGTTTGTTAAAGCAATGCTCTTAGGAGGCAGCAGCCAGATTCTCTGTGCCCTCTCAACATTTTATTAAAACAAAACATGCCTTTACAAAATTTGAGGCTAAATTATAGTGAAATTGATAAATATTGGCATTTTTTCTATAGCAGATTTTCTATGGTTACTGCCACTTCAACACCTGTGGTGAATTTATAAGTGCCAGATACCTCAGCCTCAGGCTATATGCTGCTTCAAGGTACAGAGCTCATCAAAATGAATGACAAGTATTGCAACATGAAGTTGACCAACTACAAGTGAAGGGAAGGAGAGTGCAGCTAACATTACAATTTTTGCCTCAAGGGGAGAAAAGCTGGACATAGTTTTTTTTTTGTTGTTGTTTTTTTTTTGGTTTTTTACAGGAAATTCAGTTACCTTTGTATATCAAATGTAGGTCACATACCTAACATAAGATCAGTATGTTCTCCAAAAATATAAAACAACACTAGAAATGATAAATTCCTAAAATAATAGCAGGTTGTGATATCCCCCCACAATATAAGCCCACTCAGGAAAAAAAAACTGGTGTGGTCTGCAGTATGCGCCTACAGCCTACCCATATATTTGCAAAGGAGGACTGGGAATGCATCATAGCACAGACATGTATTCAACTTGTTGACTTGCCTCTACTCATTTTATCAGGTGATGCAGCTACCTCTCACTCCTTCTCACCAGAGAAAAACACCTTAGCTACACAAGTTTGTTGTGAAAGTTAACTATGTAAATTTAGGATATGAAAGACTTGCCATGCTGGCAAAAGAGAGAGCAATGGGCTTACTTGTTCTTAAAGCAAAAATTCCCCCTAAGGCAGGGTGCACATTTATATTTTTCCTACGTTCCAGTTCAGTGGATATTTTTGAACATAGATTTGTCTTTTCACCTTTCACAGAGGCGAGACAAAGTTGTCTATGATGCAAACTGTGTGCTGTTTCATTATGAACTGAATAGCTGAACATTGAAAGCAGTGACTATCCTCTGGTTTTTATTTAGGATAAAATACATAAAATCACATTCCTTAAAAGTCACCCATGGTCCTGTACAGGCCACAGAGTCTGTCTCTTGGTTGCATCAGAGATTAGAGCAGGAGCTATTTCTCTTTATATTAACAAAGGTCTACATGGTCAAGATCATAGGAATAAAATATGTGAATTCTGTCTAAGATGAGCCTTCCCTTTTGAGTAATTTATTAGGCTGATGTGGAGACATTGATGAAAATGTACCTTTCATTTGAAAGGAAACCAATCATCTTTCTCGGATAATTTGAAGCTTGCTTTTTTAATTGTGGCATAAAATTAGTCAGAACCCAGAAAGACCTGCCTTGAAGTATTCTCGGGTCAGAGTGTGTAATTATTTTCCTCTGGTCACAAGTTCAAATTTGTAGTGGTCACTGAAACCACACCTACTGCTGCCGTCGACATCACTGGATGTACTATGCTAATGGTAAAAGGTCTTATACTTGTATAGCACTTCTCTATGCATTGCAGCACACTCAAAAGTGCTTTCACACTACTTGGCCATTCACCCATTTGCACTCACAAACGCTCACACATTCACATGCCGGTGTTGTCACCGGGAGCAACTGGGGGTTCAGTGACTTGCTCAAGGACACTTCTACATGTTGACTGGACAAGCTGGGAATCGAACCGCTAATCCTTCTGTTAGGAAATGACCCGCTCTACCTCCTGAGCCACCCCCGATGTATTGTATCGTGTAATGTATTGTACCGTGAGCACATTGCACCACTGTAACCCTTCGTTTACATGGCACGTGCCACCGTCTCTCTCCCCCTTTCTCTGGATGCTGTGCTCTGCCTAGTGATGAAGTAGAGAAGCCTTCAGCAGAAATAACGCTGTACCACCTGAGTCCTCATCAGCAGCGCCGCGCTGCACATATCCCATCAGTGCGCCTCACAAAGACAAATCTCCCTGAGCCGGCCGTATTCCCAGCATAAGAGCGAGCCAAGCAGCGCAGGGACCCTGGAGGGCCCACCATCACTGCGCCTGATGCCAGCTCTCCACCTTGTGACAGATTAGTTTTCACTGAACCCTCCACACAGCAAATGGAGCAAAAGAGAGAAAGCAGGAGGTGCTGAGGGGGAGAAGATGTAGAAGTGAAACAGTGAACTTTCATTGTGTGTGTACTTGAGCATAGGAAAAAGTCGGCTCACTCCTTCTACTTCTGGACATCATTCTTTGAACACCTGCGAGCGGAATGTGTCAGCTGTACTACCAACAGTGCTGTGACTCCTGGTCAAGAGATGATTGACAAGAATGTATTATATTTGTTTTTCAGCATAGAAACATACTTGGCCAAGCTCACAGGGAGAGAGAACTGACGAGAGGCAAAGGTAGTGGATACTATGAAGGAGATAACTGATGAGAGAGCTGCTGCTGTTGACCTTGGACTGTTGCTGATGTTGCTGAGTGTCTCGTCGAGTTTTTCTGGCAGGCTGCCCCCAGCTGCACTGGCCCCCTTTTTCCAGCTTGGCCAACTAAGCCCGTTTCTGTCATTTCTTCCAGCTTTTGTTTATATCAATCATTCTGCTTTCCCGTTATTTTATCACTAGTTCTGTAGCTCACTTTATTTCACCTCTTCTTTTCAGCTCTGCTATGATTAATAAGTATAGTTCGCAAATCAATAGAGCATTTGTAGAAACTCCACACTGAATAGATTAAATGTACTCAATGCCATCCCACTGCCAGTGAGCAGGCTTTATTATGATTAAGATTTGTTTTTTAGCTTGAAATTAAATGTTCCCCGTCTGTGAGAGCAGGTCCTTACTTCTTGAAGAGTTTGCAAATTTTTTTTTTCATTTATTTTATGTGCTTACTTCAGTGACACCTCTCCCATTTATTTTTCTCAGCTGTGTCGTCTTCCGCACATCTGTTTGCCTATGTTACTTGATGTGCAAGTTGGAGTGTCGGTACACCTGCAGATGTGTGGAAACGGATTTCAAAAAAGAAACATCAGCATACAAAGTGATAACACTGAAAAAGTTAAGTGTATTTAGGAGACAAGAAAAGACAGGTGACCTGCAAACAGATTTGGCATGCTGGATTAGGTTCTGAGCACACAGCTCTTGGGCCAGTTTTTGAAGTGCAGAAGCTGTGAACGGGCCATGCACCATCTGCAGACGCTGCCTAACAGAGCCATAGGAGCAGACTGGCTGTCAATGCCGGCTGGTATGCAGCTCACACTTCACTTCACCCAGGGCTTGAGCAGGAGCTCAGCCCCTCTCTTCTACTCAGTGTAACTCAGCCACCGCTGTCAGGTTGAGAAAGGGAAGGAGAAGAAAAAGAGAAACAAAAAACATCAACTGTAGTCAGATAGGTGAGAGTGGTGAGGATAAGAGTATGTGCACTATATCTTTGACTGCCAAGGCAGTTGATTTAGAGGTGGAAGGGAGAACAGAATAGTTACTGAGAGGCTTTGCCTGCAGGTGGTCTGAGTGAAAGATGTAAGAATTCAGGAAATGTAAGACTATGTGTTTGTGGCTCAAAATGTGTCTTTACATCCAGCTTAAAGGGTAGAGGTCATTTCAGTACTAGTAAGCCTGTTTCATACAGTAGGTCATAGAATATTATACTGTAGTTGTGGTAATGTACCAAGAAAAGAGGAGTGACAAATGCAATAACCAGCAGAACAAAACAGTTGCATGACCCTTGTATTTGTCGATTTGGGTTAAAATTGAAATCTTGACCTCTGCTGAAAATAGTGCCTGTTGCAACAGAAGAGGATCTAGTTTTAAATCCTGTACCGGCCCAGTCATGACTGAATAAATGGGCCAGATTTGTTTGTTGGCTTTGTGTCTTAATTTTGCATACCGTGTTGAGGTTTTAAAACAACTTCAAACTTGCTCTCAGACTTGGAGGTTTAAGAGTACAATGCTTAAGTCAAATTTTGTGACATAGATGACCAGCCTCAACTATTATTACTTTGAAATGAAGACAACTGAAACCCTACTCTGTGAGAGTGGGAAATTGTCAGCACTTTTGGCAGTGCCAGTTATACTTTCCAGCTGTAGCAATGCGGGCCTAAGGGCTTTAATAGACCATAATGCGGCTCAGTCTGAGTATTTGAACTTGGGAAGTTCTCTACATTGGCAGCAAATGATCTGGAGATCAGCATCCAGCAGTCTTCCCTTTACTGGCCCTATTAAAAATTAATCAAGTCACAGGCTGTGTGTTTGTGATCACTGTTTTGTGTTAGGGTTCCTGAGCTGGTACAATTGCTGTGATTAATTCAGTAGTTAACCACACTAACTTTTACTACTCTACATCTTCATTCTAGCAAACTTATAAAATGGGGTAGTGTGAAAGATCACACATTTACAGTAGCTGTACTGTAATTTTCCCCACATAGGCAAAATATTATTTAATTCTATTTGATGTGGTAATGAATGAAGTTGTGATTACAAATGTGATATACTGTATCTGATGTTTGTATCTACACCTTGTACCCCTGAAATATGTCTGTATGTGTAGCCTATTTGTTTTCCCATCACTGTGCATTTGGCCACAGCCATCTACAGCAGTTAATCAGTCAGCAAGTCTTACCTAACAGAGATAAGCAGCTTGTGCTGCTTTCTATTGATTTGAGAGAAATGCTCTTACCTGTGGAGATATCGGTTTGTCTGTCTTTTCATCCGTCTGGTTTTATGTTGCATGCAACTGGTATTCACATTGTTTTTTTGTCTCCTAGGTTTTCCTAATGAGCCTGCAGCTGAGATTGCTCTGAAAACAGTGAAGAGCTGGATCGAAGAAAATCCTGATACGGTAGGACATGCATGTTCAAAACAAATAGCCATCACTCTGAAGCCACCAATGCATTTGTCCAGGCACTGTGCTTTTTTTGATTTTCTGTGTGTTGAGCAGACCACCACAGAAACACATGACACTAATTCTCATGCATCTCTGTATCAGACAGACATCTTATCCACCTGCTTCACTTGATCAGCCATTTAGCTTGTGGTGTGCATCAATTTAAAAGCCAGTCTGAGACTAATCAGGCCTTAAATGGTCTGTTGACTGTTTAATTTGTCTATGTTGGGGAAAGCTATTAGACCCAGAGGAACATAAACACATTAGATGAAATAACCTGATATTGTTTTTTTGTGTGTGTAAGATGAATTATAATTATTCCTTCCAACAGCTGAAGGCTCAAACAGTCTGGAAACTGCCACCACAGTTTAACTGGTGAAAAGCATACGCAGTCATCTCAAGTGGTAACAACAATGAATGGCATAATCAGACGTACTAAGGATTATGATCAGTTTTAGTTACTAGGTGAATAGTTAAGTAAATATTTCAAATGACCATCACAAAGAGATGTAACATATCTATTTCCCCTTTGGGAAACTGAAATGGATTTGGACATTTTAATATCAATATGCTAAAACTGAGCAGCTACTTGCTGCTCTAAGGAGCATTACTGCCCTATTATCCAGTCAGTCAGAAAAGCAAACACTAGTGTTCCAGTTTGCAAAGCTACTAGTTTATACTGATTTCAGGCTGGAAATGATTATGGGATATTTCGCTGAAGCTGTTAAAGTTGTGCAATTTTTGTGCTTCATTGGGTGTGTCAGCACATTTATATGTGACTGCCTTGAAATGTATCAGTGCTAATTAACCAGGTCAAGCTGAATGCGAAGCAACTGTAATGACCAAATTAAAAGTAGAATTAATTTTAATAAAATGACTAATGGTTACATGAGCAGCATTATCATATGCAACATGCATTAAAAGAGGTATTTATCACCTTGATACATTTTCATTAACAATCGATGATGATAACATTTGGTCCAGTTGTCAGGAGGCTGTTTAAGGCTGTACAGAACATTTATCAGTTTGTGAGTCAGTGAGTGATGGTAACCTTCAGGGGTCATCTCTGTTTACTGTGGCACTGTTTATATCTGTCACTGTGGATTGAGGTGTTTTATAAAGCTCACAGCTTGATGTGCTACAACATCCCTCAGCTGGTGTTATGGATGTTGTGAACAGACAGCCAAATGATACGGAGCTGCTGGGTTGCTTTGCAGTTGATGTGCTGTGTTTGCCACACTTGTCCTCTGCCTGATGATTGCTGTAACATGTACTTGGGGAATCCATTAACACTCTGGCGTAAAGAATGTTTATGTAGCTTACTGCTGACTGAAAATAACAAGCTAATGTGCAAACCTGACTTTGGCGGTTTGTGTTGTTCCACATCAAGAGTTGCTACTTGCCATACAGAGCCTGCAGTTTTGTGATGCATTGACTGATAGCTATCTCTGGTGTGGGAAGATCAAGTGGAAAACATTACAATTCATGGAGAAGGGTAGACGTCTATAGAGGCCTCACTGAAGACTGTTTGGCAAAGCTCCACGAGCACAAGCAGCGGATGCTCGACACTAACTAGACCAAGAGTGAATAAGCGTTTAACAAGATCAGAGAGAATAAAGTGATACACTTTACCCAGAAGCACAGCAGTATTTCGCTTCCAGTCTAACCAGAGAACAACACGCACTGATGCAGGAGCTGGCATTCACCATTTCTTAGTGCCTAGGTAATCTTGGTGCTTGTGGAAGCACATTTAAAAAATAATGGACATAAGGTAAAATTTTAATTTTTCAGTAATTATGCCAGATTAGTTTTATTCTGACACAAAACAGAGAATTTAAGTAGGTACAGCATGATGCCTATCCTGTTAGCGGTCAAAGCATTTTGTTGGACATTAAATCCTAAAGGACAGTTTCAAGATTTTTCATGTTGGTTTTCACAGTTGTGGAAGAAGTACTCAGATTGTTTACTTAAGTAAAAGTACCAATACCACAGTTTAAGAATACTCTGATACAAGTAAAAATCCTGCTTTCAAAATGTGACTTATGTAAAAGTACAGAGGTTTTAGCATCAAAACATACTGAAATACTAAAAGTAAAAGTACTCATTATGCAGAATGGCACATTTAACATTAATGTATATCATATTATTGGATTAAAATTACTGATGCATTATGTACATCACAATGTTGCATAATGGGGGAGCTCATTTTAAGTATCTTATATGCTTAGAATTTGAAGTACTTTACTGCTGGGTAGCTCATGAATTTTCCACCAGAGATCAATATTCTTATGCTTATGCTGTAATTTATGTATTAATCTGGTCCTGAAAACTAACTAAGTTGTAAAAATAAATGTAGTGGAGTAAAAAGTATAACATTTGCCTCTAAAATATAGTGAAGTCAAAGTATGAAGTAGCACAAAATGAAATACTCAAGTACAGAAACCTCAGAATTGTCCTTAAGGACAGTACTTCAGTAAATGTGCTTAATTAGTTTCCACCACTGGGTTTTAAAACACTATTGATGTGCCCAGTACTTGACAGTAACAGTCTAGCAAATATTATTTTAAGGACTTGAAAAATCCTGAACCTGTCTTCTATGATGAATGGCCCTTGCATTGTCTGATATGTTTAGAAATCCTATTCATCGCTGCAGTATTTACTCATGTGACACACCCAGTGTCAACATGATTGATAGCTGACATGTTTCTGTTTCAGGCTCTGTGTCAACTCATAAGAAAATTATGTGCTGTCAATCGTTTATTGCGTTTTCTGGTCTCAGAGAGAGATTACAGTCACAGACGTTCAGAGTAAAAGCCTTGAATTTTCAGTGTTGTGCAAGTTGTTGTACACATGGTTTTATTCATGCTCTTGTGTCCCCCTTCAAAGGCAATCACAAAGTGATGAGATGTTGGATGCTTTACCATCAAAAGGCTTGCAGAAGTTCAGTATTGTTCAGTTTTGCTACAGTAGCTCATATCACAAATTGCACACAGCTTTCCAAATAGAGAGAGAATGAGACATTTGAGGCCCAGTTGATCATGCATGGAACAATAGGAATAGATTGCTCTGTTCACTCACCTCCAGCTCTGTGCACTCAGCCCCGAGGAGCCGTCCACAGAGGCAAGTCATTTCAGGGCCATGATAAAGGCTCTGCTTTGGGGAGGATACTGTGCTATTGTGGCAGAATTTCAGCACAATGGGCTGGCTGAAGGTCTAACACACTGGGGTGGCAGGTTATAGGCCACAGTCCCCCCATTACAACCCCTTCCACTGACACACACACTCTGACATGATAGTGTTGTCTGTGCATGGCCAGCTGTTCATGTGTATGTATGTCATCCAGCTGAGATACATGGGCATTTGGCCGGCTGTAGTAATACACAGCAATTGGAATGTAATGTTTAACTAATTGAAACGTGCTCATATGAGATCTGAGGATGCTGTTACATCAGATAGCAAAGGAATTTGTGTAGTATGTATGTGTGTGTGTGTGTGTGTGTGTGTGTGTGTGTGTGTGTGAGAGAGAGAGACAGGGAGAGAGGAGAGAAAAAAGAAGAGGACACTGTTTGATTGATTAGCTGTGAGTTTATCTCCCAGGCCAGGACACTGTAGCCCTGATGCACTCACCAGCACACAAAGGGCCCCAGTGTCAGCATGAAATTCACTTATAAAAGCACCTAGACTTCCATTGTCGAAGAATAAACAGCCTCACAGTGGTCAGGGAAAACAGATCCTTTAATCTGGAGAGACTTGAGGGCAGGAATAATCCTTCAGATCACAGTAGAAGAACACAAAAAAATGAAAAAGAAAGTAGGTATGTGTAAACAATAGACCAGAGGGTTCTACTCTCTTCAAAAATGCATAAGGGTCTGCAGACGGAAGAAGCGACAGACCAACACAACCAGTTCTCCATATGGTTTTAAAGCACTTAGCACACGTCCCCCCACTCATCCGACTTTGGTTTATTTCTTATTTTAAGATGTAATTTGGTTTAATTCAGGCCTATATAGATTTAATCTGCAGATGAAAAATGTGGTCTGACACACTATTTGGCTGCCAAGGATGTGCTCTGGATGGCCCAGCTTTTTAATGAAGCGTTTCGAGAGCCTGGCAGCCCAGCATTACTAACACAGTCGGAACATTCCAGATTGGGAGTTTGTAATAAGCTCTGCTGTGCTGCGCTGCTCAGGACAAAATTGATGTGTAGAGATTTCACCTTTCAACATCAGTCTAGTTTGGGCATTGGTATTAAGCACTCCACTGTGACAGTGATGCTCCCAAAACAGGTGTTTTCATCCTGCTTCCTGTTCTGAGAATGATCTGTTTATGTTCATGAATCTCAGGCCAAACCTAGAGACTTAACAGTGATTTGAGACAAATATGAAGTGACTGTTAAGAATAAATTACAGTAGAGTTTACTGTATGTTTGTATGGCCATGTTTTGCTGTGGAAATGGATATAGCTGTTTAGGCAGCTGTCTGGGTTTTGGCAGATGGAGCTGTAACATGACAACACTGAGGCATTCATTGTCAGTTTGGCTGAATAAGATGGATAGTTGCCATTATTGTGGCTACATTGTGTGGTTCACCTTTCGAAAATGTGAATTGCAAGCAGACAGCAAGCCACATATGTGCTGCTTGTTTATCATCTACTATACATTGTGGTTAAAACGTTGATGAATTCCCTCAGAGAGAGTCCAAGTCCCACTGCATTTTTAAGCCACTGTCTCTTCTGTTCCAGTAAGTTCATCTTAAAGTAACAGATGAAGGCCTCTGCTGGAAAATACTTTATTGATACTGGAACGGAATTTAACACTAAGCGAGGCAGTACCTCACCTTTGTTGCTGCATTGCCACTTCATGCTGTTTTTATGGTCTAATATCCAATGAAATGACTTAGCCAAGTGTTGCCGCTGTAGCCAAGAGAGGCACAAATTTGCTCTGCGTATGCCTGGTG